TGGTCGTGACGGTCGTGGTGGTCGTGACGGTCGTGGTGGTCGTGGTGGTCGTGGTGGTCGTGGTGGTCGTGGTCCTAGTGGAGGTCGTGCTTGTGGCGCGGTGGTGACACGGTGGTCGTGCGTGGTCGCAAGCTGCCCTCGTCGCAGTGGCATCCTTCTGGAGAGAGGCAACATCAAGCCACCAAAACAAACATGTTGCAAAACTTACGGCCGCCTGGAAGGCGAGCTTTCTGCAGGTTCGCACCGTATAGCTTGGTGTCGTTGAAACTGCCAAAGCACTTTGTGAAGATGTCTCCAATTTCGGACACGGCCTGATCCAACGCTAACCTCGGGCAACCGCGCGAGATCCCACAGTACGGTGTTGTCGAGTTCTGTAGACATCTCTTTGTAGGAACCAGCAAACCACGAGAGTTCCCTGCCCTTCAGCAACCCTGGACACGCGGGTACGACGAATCTGGGTTCTAAGCTGACCAGCTGAAAAATTTCGGATACTTGGGCAGCCTTGCGGGGGCTGACGAGTCATCAGGCCAGAGTAAAAAGTTGCCAAAATTTGCCAAAAGCTTACTACTTACTACCGCCACCTGCACCCTTATTCAGAATGAGCCAGTCAGTTGCAAAAATAACAACACAACCACGGCAACAGCCACAACCACAGCACCACTTGCACCATCACAGCGCAAAGCACGCACGCGATACAGAGCAGCTGACAAGCGACTCGAACATCCATTCGACAACCCAGGACCCAGGCCGGTACTGCTTCCAACGTATACCCCAAAACTTCAGAGTAGTGGAAGTGACTCCGCAGAATACAGAAATATTCCCGATCGAGGCCCTTACCCTGAGACCCTTAGACTTGGGGACAAAAATGAAGCTGTTGCTGCAGACATTGATGCCAGGCTCAAAAACGCTACTTGAGACGGTCGGCTGATGACAATGACCTTGACACACGAATCTGCGGCGTTTTTCATGAGGACGATGACGATCACGACGCACATGAAAATCATGGTGACGATGGTGTGAAAAGTGATGCATGCTGGTGACGACGGCGACCTCAATCCCACAGACAGACTGGCCTGTACTGTTGCATCTCATCATCCACCTTGCCCGCAGCTTCGGTTGCCTTCGCTGCTGCCGCTTGTTCCTCAGCCAAATCAAAGACGTCCTCGTAGCGCGCCAACACCACCAGCAGTTCCTTTGACTTCTCGTCTCGGGTGTAGGGGTGTTAGACTGCGTGAAACCATTTGGTGCATCTACATACCGATACACATTCACACGTCCACATGTACATAGCAATAAATAGAAAAATACCAAAGCTCTGGAAGCATGTATGTATAATCATGCGTATGTATGTACATATATTTATATGCGTGTGTGTATACACATGTATACACAGCTGGATAATCGAATCTATCTGTCTTTCTATCTGTCTACCTAGCTATCTGCCTGACGATCTATCTAACCGCTTATCTACCTATCTCGTCTTCTATCTATCCGAAAACCATGTACATAAGTATAGATATATATATATATATATGGTACCCCCCAAAGATCTATGCTTTTGTACTCTTTTCAACATTTCCCACTCACAAGCAATGCTTTTTGACTGTTTGAAACTCTTCCCACTCACGAGCATCCCCTGGTGCTATTCTTTTCAGCTACTCCCGCTCACAAGCATCTTCTCATGAACATCTCTTCACTCACGATCCGCAAAAACCAACCTCTTGTAACCCAATGCGACTTAATATTTCAATATGGCTCCGCCCCGCGGAAGGCCACATTGAAATATTGAGCCACATTGAGATTCAATATAGCGGATCCAAGATCCAAGATCCAAGATTGCACCGGATTCCTGGGAGGAATCTTGGATCACGGATCTAGGGTACACCATATTGACATTCAATATGGCCGCAAAATTTCAATATGGCGGATCCAAGATCCGTCACCCAAGATTCTTCCCAGGAGCCCTGTGCAATCTTGGATCTTGGATCCGGCATATTGAAATTCAATGTGTCTCAATATTTCAATGTGGCCTTCCGCGGGGATTCAGAAATCCAGCCGAAACAGCTATCGCTCCCTTGAACACTATGCCTACCCTCAAATTCCGACGGAATTCCGACGGAACTCTGACTGAACTCCCACCGAACTCCAAGCGGAAAAAAAACGCGGGCTAGGGGTTTATATATATGTGCTGCATGTACGTACCATTTTTGTTGTATCTATGTGAATATGTGTACATATTGCATATACACAATATGTGTATATACCGATATTATCTGTCAATGGTTGGTATTTATACATATAAACATATATATATATATATACAAATATACAAATGGTTTACATTTATGCACTGTGGCAACCCTACATTCCCCACATGCTTACCTCATAGGCATGTGTTGCATAAGCTTAAACAGTGTGCACATACATTTGTTACAAGTTTGAAAACTGATGATACTAAACACATGTATGTATACATGCACTGTATAAAAACGAAACGTTCAAACCTGAGTATATACATACATGTGCATATATGTGAACATAAACACATATATCTCCTTGTATACGTGTATACCCATATACACATATATGCATACATTGTGTAAATATGTGTGTGTTTAAGCAATATACTTATACGCATGTATACTTTATGCATATGCAAATGTAGACAGTGTCGGCGCGGGGGGACGCTACCTGTTCCACTCGTTCCACTCGCTCCGACCGCTCCACTCGTTCCACTCGTTCCACTCGCTCCGACCGTTCTACTCGTTCCACTCGCTCCGACCGTTCCACTCGCTCCACGCGCTCCACTCGTTCCACTCGTTCCACTCGCCCCGCGCCCCACCTGTTCCATCCATTTGTTAGTTCCACTCCCCTCCCTTCAGAAATATAAATGTATCCATACAACTGTGTATATACACTGTAAATGTTAGTTATGTATACACAAGGGATTTGTTTTTTGCGTGTAAACACATGGATGTATGTAAATGCATATGCTAGGCTGGTGCTCGGGAGCTTTCAACCTCAATGTAGATCTAGCCTCGAGTTTGATCATTCGCGTTGCCTCGGTACAGAACATCGCAGACCCTGACCAGGTGAGGGCTCTGGGTTAAGCGGCCTTCAGGACTCATTCGGATCGTCTCGAGGTGATCATATCTGTATGTTGGGTGCAATCGACGCAATGTTGCAGCTGAGCCACCTTGAAGTGTTCTGCAAGTTCTGCTGGCACGACATCGCCTTGGTCTTTATATTGTACCTCGGTCGCTTCCGGTTTGGGTGCCCATCCAGCAGGAATTCAAGTCCTCCATCAACTTGTCGCAGCCTCTCACTTTACTAACGCCCAACTAAACGTGCACCCCGAAACAATCAATCTGTGTGGTCTACTCAGATGCAGAACTGAACGAAACGACGCAACACAGACAATAGCATCATCGCCAGCCGCAGCATCAGCCACAGCACACAAACAAAAATCAACCCACCGCACAAAGAGGCTGCCAACGAGTGTAAAGCGTGCCAGAAGACACTGGCTCTGAAATTGATGCTCTATGTCTGACTTGCAAGTTGGCTGCGGAGAACTTAGTACATCAGGGCCGCAACGGAGAAACCCAATTAGCCACAAGCATAGGGAACACCAGTTCTAAAGGACTCGTGGTGTTGCCTGGACTTTCGTGCCGTCGCCCAACAAGCTTGGAAAGAATCGCTCGATGACCTCGGCTTGCAAAGCGGGCGGAAAAACAGTAAACTTGGCTTTGGAAGAAATACAACATTTTCTGCGAACTCGTCCTTCCCATATCCAATTTAACATCTTGTACTTTCCGAAACAACAAACTTGACGAACTCCTGTGCAACAGTTCTGCACGGCACACTTCTACTCTCGGCTGCGGCGTGGTGTGCTTTGAGCCTAGTCTCCCGCACGTCAGTTCCTGGCTCACGTAATGCGTTTCTGCCATACACACTGCACGACTTTCCGTACAAGTGGTGCGTGGATGTAAAACGCTAACACCCCGCTTTCGCAGCTGTCGCGAGTCAGTCCTAGACTTGGCTAGTTTCGATGAGTTTCTGCTCATTTTTGCTCAAATGAGCAGAACCAACTGTTCCTGGTGACAGCCATCAGAACGATTGCATACTCCATCCTTGTGTTCTGAACTCAAATTGCCTCCTCCTCAATGCTCGACTCCGTGCTGCTGCTGTTTCTTTGCTCCCGCATTATCTGTCTGTAGTTCGGCATCTTTCTCTGCTTCTGCTGTTCCGTCTCCTCGTATGCCTTACACACATGGGTAAGAACGGACGAGCTCAAGGAGAAAGGTTGTGGCCTCAGGGTCTATGTAAAATGTAAGGTTTCGGTTGTCAACCGAAGTCCAGCATTCATGGCGCCGGTGTCTACTGCATACACCTCGTTTGAAACCATGCGGCTAAAGTTCGAAAGCAGCATTAGAAGTAGCTCAAGCGGCAAGGCATGGGCGCTGCTGCCCGGCACCACGCCACTCCTTCTCCAGAGACAGCTCTCCCGAGGCTGCCAGCTCGTCGACCTTTCAGGGGTAATATTGAAAGATGCAGTGGCAGGGAGAACACGGTACCCGTGGCTGTGCTTTCTGAACATGTTGTTCCCAGACACCTGGGAAGCTGTCACTACGACATCTTCCTCAATTGTTGAATGATGAGGTTTCGGTTGCTCGGTCCATCGGCAAAGAAATACAAAACAAAGCAGTTGAACCTGTCCGGCCGTTGCTGTCGCCACTTCTTCCACCTCTTGCTCCTCTACCGACACTTCCACTTTCTGCGTTGCTGCACTGCTGTGATGACTCTGGCTCTGTGAGTTGTATGTGAATGGAGAACGAAGGTATATCCGGGTCTTCGTGCAGGTATGGCCAACTTCATCGCACTCAGAAGCTCCATAACACTCAAGCCACCTTGACCGACGAAGCGAGCACCCCGAGCCCCAAAGTGGAGAGTCTGCACCGTCGCGAACCTCACTTCATAACTGTGAAACACAACAACTCCCGTTCCCAACCTTTGCGGCGTTGGGATTGTCGTTGAGCTGCTTGTCGACAGATTTTCGCCACTTCCTAGATGTGCGGTCTGGAATCGAGAGTTTAGGGCCTGGTTCAGGAATTGCACTGCGAAGCCGAGCCTCAGCAGGGCTAGCAGGTGCAGGCTTAGACCCCGAACCGTTGACCTTGACCGGGACAGTGAACCCAAGTTACACGCTCCTTCCTGCCAGGCTCTGTCGCCGACTGTGCTAGAAGATTGCTGGTCCAGCACACACAAGTCTGAACTGCAGAACGGGACAGTCTCATCAATGTCGCACTGTGCAATACTACTTCTGCACGGCTGGTTGCTGATCTCGAGGCATGTATACACAAATCCTTCGAAAAACCACCGATGCTTCTTTACAACCACGATGCAATAGTGTGTAGAACCGAATGATCTTTATTAGATCATACTCGGAATCATCGTTTCAACAGACAAGGAGAAGAACACTGTAACATGGCGACACAGCGAAACGTGATCCAGGCTGGCAGCAGCGCCATGATTCAAGGCACCAGGAAAAAATACGAAAAACTCATGGGCTTCGGCTGCTGTATTCTTGTATAGATTCAGATGTGTTTCGAGTACGGAAACCCTCTACAAGCAACGTTCAGACGCACGCGGTTGCAACTGCACGTTGCGAGTTGTGCGAAACTCTCGGTGCATTTTCCTTCGCTTTCACAGAATTTGGTGCACACACATGCAGCAGTTAAGGATTCTGAGCTTCTGGCGGTAGAACTCTTAGAATTTTGGTTATGCATCGTCTTGCTGCACACATGTGCCACATCACTGTGACATTGTACAAGACACTGCGCGGCCTGAAATCTCGACCCGGATGTTTATGTTGCGTAATTCAAGCTGGGAGCACATCCGCCATCCTGGCTACGATCCGTGTCCGGATCCATTGTATGAGAGTGCCAGAAATCATAACACTAGCTGTCTACACGCCCTATTGGTCGAGACAGGGATAGCGACAATGCTCTTGCATAGCGACCCTCAAGAACATCATTCTCTTCGCAGAGGAGCTCAAGAACGGCGGCAGGCAGTCCGGAGTTGGCCGACGGAGCCTGGAGATTTATGCAGTGTTTTTGCTGAAGATACGAGAATGATGACGACAGTGCAGAAAAATGGAAGTGCTATGACGGTGGTGATGATGATAATGATGAG